GGGGTGTTCCAGCCTGGTCCCTGCTGACTGACAGCCCAGGGCCTCAGGACCCAGGAGGAGACCCCAGCGATGCCCACTGAGAGCCCAGGGTCTCAGGACTAGGGAGGAGACCCCAGACCCAGGGAGGAAACCCCAGCCACATTCACTGAGAGTCCAATCTCTTCCCAGATCCCTGCTACGCCAGGCGGTAGAAGAGCCGGCCTGGGCCTTGGTGAGTGAACTTCGACCTGGGATGGGTCGGGGGGCCGAGTGAGGACAGCAGGGACCCAACGTCATAGCTCGTGGGTCCCAGCCCAGGACGACACCAGCACCCTCCCTCCCCCACCTGTGGGCTTTGCTGCCGTCACAGTACACAAAGCGCTCAGTGGAAGACGTTGTCAGGGTGTCATGGGAGTCGGGGTTATCGAGGAGCCTTTGGGGGGATTCGAGTGGGTGGTGGGGTCTGGCCCTGCATGTGTGTCCCAGGGCTCCCATGACAAAATCCCATGAGCTGGGTGATTCACAACAGCCAGGATTTACTCTCCCACAGTTGAACCCAGAAGTCCGAAATCCCACTGCTGGGGGCTGTGCTCCTCCAAAGGCTCCAGGGGAGGACACTCTCCAGCTCCTGCAGCCATGGAGTCCACTGGACGGGGGCCCATCGCTCCAGTCTCTGCCTCCGTCTCACACGGCCTCTCCCTGTCTGTGACTCCCCTTCTGTCCCTTCTAAGGACACTCATCATTGAGTTTAGGGCTCACCAAGGTCACCCGGGATGACCTCACCTTCGGACCCGCAATCACATCTGCAGAGACCTTTCTCCCATGAGGTCTCTCTGCAGGTTCCAGGCATCGGGACATGAAATGTCCTTTAGGGACACCACTCAGTCCACCGGTCCCCTCCTCAGAGTTGCCCTCCCTTCTTGGGAACAGGCCCCAGTCCAGGAAAGACCCTCCAAGACCCCATTCCCTCCCCAGAGCCCGAGCCTACCAGAATCACCTCCTCTGATGTCTGGGGCCCCTAAGGAGCCTCCTCAGGCAAGTCCCAGAGTTCAAGGGGCCCCAAGGTGCAGGCGAGATGGCCTCTTGGGGCCATCTGTCCTGGTCAGCCTCTCCCTTGGGGATGATGGTCAACTGTGTCAGCTGGGGCAGGTGTCCCTGCCCCTCCACGATTGGGAGACTGTCGGGAGGTCCCAGCCACCCGTGGTCATTCTGTGGATTAAAAGAAAGCATCCGCTGGGCATGTATCAGAGATGGGGAAATGCACGTCCAGACACAGCCTCTACGAAAAAGCCGTGACAACCCCATTCATGGCCACCACACTATGGGCATCCCATCCTGTCCACAGTGAAGGGCCAAGCACACAGGGCTCCACTGCATGCTGGAATGTGGCTCAGCACATAAGGACGACATGGGTGAATCTCACAGGCCCCACTGTAGGTCCTGGGCTGGGGTCCACGTCCACAGCAGTCTTGAAACGACACCAGAGTGGACGCGGAAAACAGGCCAGCACTTTCTAGAGTTGGGAAGGGATATGAGTGTGGCTGTGAAGGGGTATCGGGGGTCCTGTGGCCTCGGAGTGAGCTGTGTCTTGACCACCGCGGAGGGCACTCAACCCTGTGCAGGCGACAAACGGGCAAAGACAGAAAGTACCCATGCACACTCACTCATATACACACATGTACACGTCCTCACACTCATCCATACTAAATATACATGCACGCATGCTCATTCACACTCATATACTTACACACACATACAAACGTCCTCAAATACACGTGCTCACACACTCACATTCTCTACACACTTATACATCCTCACGCTCACATACACTAAATGTACACACTCACACATATGTTCACACATACACACTAAACACACACCAACATTCACATACTCATGCACACTTGTCCTCATGCTCACACATCCTAAATACACACACTCATACATACACAAATGCACATACCCATACATATATACGCCCACATATTCACACACACTACCACATCCACAAACACTAGATACAGATTTTCCCACACACACTCACTTCCATACTCATATACACAAATTCACATGCTCACACACACATGAAACACACGCACTCATGCATATATACACACATGCACACACCGAATACACACACTTTTACAGTGTCCATGCTGGTTTCCATCCACAGGTCGGCAAGCTGCAGTCCCCGGGGTGGCAGGGAGGGTCCTCCTGCTTCTCACTGTGCCTGTGAACCTATGATTCTCTCACAATAAAGTTAACAGGAAGAAATGTTTGTCCTTCCTGGTCTCCCAAGGAAATGCTGACGGGCACCTGCCCGTGGCTGCCCCCCTGCCCATCTCCACCCGGCCCGGCTTCTCTGCTGCCCCTGACTTAGACAAGGCACACCCCAGCCCCTGTCACCAGCGCCCCCACCCTGAGAGGCCCAGCTCCCTCCCCAAGAAGCCAGGGCCTCTCCTCCTTCCCCGGGTCTCCTGGGAACAGGGACCACGCTTCCTGTGCATGCCCCCTACAGACTAGGGGGACAGCCTGGAGGATGAGGAGGGGTCCTGACTCCCCAACCCACTCCCTGGGCAGCATACCCTGCAGCCTGAGACCCACCCCCCAGTTGCTGCTCTGGGAATCCCTGGCTGGGGTTCCACATGACAGAATCGAGCACCAGTCCCAAACCCAGTGCTCTGTGACCCCGGCAAGGGGGTTGCACTTTCGGTGCTGGGGGGAACTCATCCCCCATTCCCGCCCCCTCACCAGTGCCTGCTTGTTGGCAGCTGAGTGGAGCAGCCTTCGACAAGGGGTGTGGGTGCGGCCCCTCCTTGGCTCTCAGGCTGCGGGGGCAAAGCTGGCAGGGTTTAGAGCCCCTGAAGGGACAGCAGGGGTGAGAGGTTTGTCCCCATCTCCAGCAGCTAGCAGCCCATGGAGGGGAGGTTTCGGGAAGCTGCCCACTTGGTGGGGCCTCCTGGTGTCCAGGTGGGGGGATCCTGGGAGGAGGCTGACCACCAGCACAGGAAGAACCCACAGACCGCAGAGGAGGCCTGGGCATGGGCAGAAGGCAGCCTAAAGGGAAGCTGAGCCGGGGCCAGAGGGTCCCAGCCCCCGCCTCATGCTCCCTCACTACCCAGCACAGGGGCTTCCAGATAGACGAGGAAGTGGCCTGACTGGAGTTGGGTCCAGGGGAGGATCTGTCACCTGCCCTGTGGTACTCAGCCCACCGGGACACAACCTGAAAATGAAGGCGGGACAAACATCTCTGAGCAGGCAGGGCATAGTGCTGGGGCGAGGGAGGGGACACAGTCGCCCAGGCCCCACTGTGAGTGGACATGGCACCTGTCGCAGGGGCTCTGGGCCTTGGAAAAGAAGAGTCCCCCACTAGGCATGGGCCAGGGTCACGGGGACTCCTGCATCCCTTTTCCTTTTCCTTTTTTCTCTTTGGTCCTGGGACATCTCTTACACACACAGGACACAGCACACCCAGGCACCTCTGGCGCCATATTTTGTTACGTTTGGATGCACAAACACAAAACCACACTCAGGAACAAGAAAAGAGGAGAAAAGAACCAGGAGGGAGTCCAGGCACAAATGGACCAATTATTGTCACAAACGTCACAGCTGGGGACTTTCTGTATGCAACAGTCAGCTGTCGCAGCGTCTCCGTGTTGTGTAGACACACAGGCCTGGTTCCATGTGCTGCTCCATGCACTCCTTGTTCAGACACACCAGGTGTGACCCAGCTGTCCACTGAGCGGAGGCATTTGGGATATCCCTAATCGTCCACCAGCGGCAGACACCCCCCTGCAGAGATGCTTGCCGGGAGCTACCAAGTGCCCCTCCCACGGGGCCCCGCCTCCCCCAACACACACACACTCCACAGGGCGTTCTGGTCCCAGGTTCCACCTCTCCCACACCAGGCATGGATCAGACTGTTGACCAATGGGGGATGGTCAACGGCGGGTTCTTGTATTCACACTTGGAGTGACTTTGCAAACAGACACATGGAGAAAGCGGGATCAGCAAGTAGCAACATAAAGCAAAGAACAGCACAATCCCAAGGGGGTAGAGTGACAGAAACAGCCCAGAAAGGCTGCTGCTTCTGCTCCAGCTGTTGTTGAACCATGACTTTTATTTTTAGGGGTGCTGAGGGGGGCCTAAGGGCAGGATTTTCCTAGAAATGGGTGGTCTTAGGGCTGGGTCTCTGTTTCTGCCTCATGTCAGCTAGGGAGTTTCAGGCCTTCACAGGGTCACACCAGGACTGTTGTGGCATCAGGTGTATAATGGGCGTGGGAGGCTCCTCAGGGTAATTTTATGCTAATAGTATTATAATGAAGGTAAAAGTAGGTCATGGTTATCTTGAGCCAACCCTAGCTACTGATGCGCATACTCCGGGGATCTCTAAGCTGGTTCCTGCCTTGATGGTCAACTCTCAACCACAGGTGTCCTGGAATTACGACCTGCCGCTGCAGGTGTTGCTGATAAGGGCCTAACAGATAGGCAGGTATGACGTTTCCTACAGCCAGGTCCTTTGCATGCATGTGTGGGTTGCACCAGCTGCTGCAGACATCAGTGGGCTTGGAACTTTCCGACAGCCCCAAAGTTGTCCTCATCTAACCGGCCTACTCTGTCAAGACCTCATTTCAGGGACGAGAGAAGGGAGACCTGGGCTCCCTCTGCCAGGCCCTGACTCCCGGGGCTGGAAGGTGCTGTCCGTTTCCGGGCAAATGATCCCCTTGTCTGGGAGTTGCTATCCGGATCCCTCACTCATTTTCCAGCTTGTTTTTTCCCCTAGTTGATTTTTAATTCTCTGTCTTGGACATCAGTTCGTGGCAAATCGCCTGAGAGACAGACATTCATCCCCCTTGCCCCCAGTCTGTTCCTGGTCTCTCGCCTTGTTGATTTTGTCTCCCATTGTATGGAAACTTTTAATCCCTGTGTCTCCCTCCCTCGTGCCTGCACCCGTGGTGCTGGTGCGTGTCACACAGGGAAAGCTCCCGCGCCCACTCTCAGCTACCCATACTTTTCCTTCCCACCCTCACAGCAGGACGGTGTTATTCCTCTGCAGGCTCCAGACGCAGAGACTGCAGCTTGCCAGCTGTGAGGCCTCGGCTGTGTGGCCTCGGCCGTGTTTTCAACCTCTCTGGGCCCCAGTCTCCACAGCTGCAAATCGCGGGTCATAAACCCATCTATATCATGAGGTTATTAGGAAGAGGAATAAGTT